GGAAGGAAGGAAGGAAGGAAGGAAGGAAGAGTCCTTGGGGTTCTCTGAGCTTGGTTCTTTTCTTGCAAATGTTTCATTACCCAGCTAGGTAACAGAAAGAACTGAGTTAAATAACTCCTCCTTTGTTTACTAGTTTTATTTCTTGCCTTTTCTAGTTATACTATTTCTTATCTATAAAGTCAGACATGTACTTCTTTAAAGAAATAAAAGGTGCATGTTGCAGGAAGCAAAAGTAAACTGCTTGTCTCACCTGTGCTGTTCCTGCCTCTCTCTGCTTCACAGGGCCATTTCTGCCTGTCTGGGGCGGCCTATCCAACTCCATGTCCCACTGGAGAATATCAGCCCAACCGAGGCTCAGCACATTGCCTTCCTTGCCCATCAGGGTTCTACTGCCATGAGGCTTTTCCTGCAGAACCCAAGCATTGCCCACCACATTCATATTGTCCTGAAGGTATAGAAGTGGGAAAACGGCAAGGGTATATGTACAGTACGGTAAAAAAAAAAAAAAAATCAAGATGGGGTCCACGATGGTGAGGTTGAAGCGCCATCCAAAAAACAGGTGGAGCTACCATTGTGGTCGTTATCTTGAGTTTTTTGACCATACCCTGCAGACATCCCTGGAAAATATATTAGCAAAAACTCCAGGGCTGAAAACTTCAATAGACTGATTCATTTACTGCTTAGCTGTTTTATGGTAAAAACCTTCTGCTGGTTAACTGGAGGAAAGGGACAGGAGAAAAGATTCTTTGGCTCAAGAAAGTCCTTCAAATTAGGTCTTAAAGAAACTGAGAAGACAACTTTTCCTACCCAAATTTGCATCTGATTGTTTCCCTTTGGTGTATGAATCTGGTCTCAGCTCACTTCTAAGAGACAGCCTTTGTTGGACTGGCAAGCAACTGCAAGCCATTTCTAATGGAGGATAAATCAGCCAAATTTCCCTCTAAGACAGAATCCAAACTACTGATGTATAGCATCTTCTAGAGTTATACAACTAGCAACAGTAATGAGGATAGTGTTATAATGTTAGAAGATGCTCTAAGTCACTAGAGGGATAGTAGAAGATGGAATGAGATGCAATGAGAAGAGCGGTTTGCAATTTTTCCCCCAGATATTATAGGAGGTAACGGAATAAAAGGTAGGCATTCCTTCAAATGGAAAACCAAGCTGAAGAGCAATGAGCACACAGGTACACCATCGCTAGAATTGAGGTGGATAGTAAAAAAGAAAGAAAAAGCTGATGCTCTGGAGAAGATAAGACCCAGAGTTTACATGTATCCTCACCACTTGTAGTTTGTAGTCAGGGCCATGATGCTACCAAGAGAGCCTCCATTTACAAATGGGAGGTAGTTCCTATGTATAACACATCTCCCCGAGAGTCAACCAGCAAATGCCAATTTAAAAAATCAAAACAAAGCACTCTTCTTTTTTTCATAAGATCCATAGGTTTTGAACATTGAAGCGATGTTAGCACTGGTGAATTTAAATAGTGGAGAAATATGTTGTCAATTCTAGTGCACGCCTGTGCAGAATTTTCAGTGGAACAAGTCAGGGATGTGATGGTGGAAAATATCTTTCATATTTCTAATACTCCAATTTGCAGTAGGTGTAGGAACAAGTTCAAGAGAGTGTCCTTCTGAAATCTGCAGGCAACTCAGAGTTCATTGTGGTTATGCAGAGCATCTGACAAGCATGTTCTTATCTATAGTAGTACTGGTTTGTGTATGCAGGTAATAGTGGGGAGAGTATTAGTATTGTCTAATGTAGAAGTTACCTAGTTATTAATATTTCTGATACATAATATAATATGACTCCGTCGTAAGTCTTTGCTCCGATTTCTTATGTAGTTCCACTGATTTGACTACTTTTTTAAAAAATGTAACTTCTTTTCTTAGGTACTTTGGCTCCCCTTCCATGCCCCGATGGCACTTTTACTTTTCAAGATGTTTTTGGGCTGCGAAAAGAGAGAGATTGTCTTCCTTGCTCCCCTGGTCACTACTGCAGGTTATAAATTACTTTTGCTACCTCAGCAAATTGAAATTGTAGGATCAGTGTAGTTTATTTGGCTGGAGGTATTTATCAACGGTCTTCCTTCTCGGAGAAATCTGTAAGGCAGGAGAGAGAATAAGAATAGTCAGTAATAAACCACGACATATCTTAGATTGTAAGGGGGTGACTTGACTTGGGATCAACAAGGAAAAAAATGTGGCTGAGCAGGACCAGGACATAGTTCTTCCTGGTCCAAATCTAGGTTTATAAATGGAGGTAATCATATTTCTGTTACTTTGTGCCTCAAATGTGTGCTCTTCTGTGAGGATTTTCTGATGATTCCAATGGAGGTGAATATGTGTAGCTCAGGGTTGAACTGTGGAGTCCTTCAGGTTCCCTGAGCTTGGTTCTTTTCTTCCAAACGTTTCATTACCTGGCCAGGTAACATCTTCAGTGCTAGCTAGCTTCAGTACTAGCACTGAAGATGTTACCTAGCCGGGTAATGAAATGTTTGCAAGAAAAGAACCAAGCTCAGAGAACCCCAAGGACTCCAGAGTTTCTGATGATTCCATCTTTTAAGGCAAGATACAGTCCTCTAGACAGAAGGTCATCACTGCAGTTGCTCCAGCCATGCAGAACTGAAAGAAAACAAATGCAAGCCAGCCCCTGTTCCTTCTAGATTCCAAGGCTGCTTTTACGATAAATTACCACTTGTTTAATTTCAATTTTATTTCTCTATTCCGTGGTTTGGTTTGAAGTGATGCGCTCTTTCATTTAATACTGTAAACTCTCTGTATCCATTCATTCAGGAGAAGTGTCATACAGAATGATGACTGCTAAATTATTTTCCTTGCCCTCTAAATGAAGTCCTACCACTTTCTTTGCACCAGGGGAGGGCGGATGGAGGGACCATGTGCCGCTGGCTTCTTCTGCCAAGAGGGGAGTGCTGATGCCACACCACAGGGTTACAACTTCACTTGGGCTCCCCTGGCTGACTGTCTATGGGGAGAAAGATGTGCAGGCCGTTGCCCGTCAGGTACCTGAGTGTCCTAGAAAGTAGCAAATATCTATCATAAACATTCATAGACTAGCATCCAAAAAACACAAGTCTAAGGATACCCAGCATTTGGGGCACCTAAAAGTTTGATTATGGTGTCAAGAACTGTGCAATTTTGTTGTTGGGTTGTTGTGGTTTGGAGACCTAAGTCCCATGACACTCTATTATGCTTTCTTCCAAGGACAGCAGTGGGGAATCTGTGACAATCTGCCTCCCATTCCCAGAAGTGTCAGCTAGCAGAAGGCTATGGATGGGATGAGGAATGCTGAGAGGAATGCAGGGAGTTGCAACTCAGCAGCAACTGGAGCAGGAGTGCCCATAGGAGGGTCCAAAGAGTCAAGATGGCAGTCATTGTGACAAGAGTCAATCTTTTGTGCTGCAGATACTAAAAAAAGCAGCAGGGCTTCAATCACAGTCTCGACTGCCTTCTTGATATTTTTGATTGGCTGTCCTCTGAGACCTTCCCTGAACTGGAAAATCACAGTTTTCTCATCCTTTCCTTTATGCAAAATGAACCTTCAGTTCAGTGCAGGATTGGCATCTGTGCATACAAATTGCTGGCATTTAGGCATTTAAAACACCATTCCACTAAGTGCTCATGACTTCATTTAATAGCTGGACAAGTAAAAACAGGCAACTTTATCCCATGTGGATGGATGCCGACTTCATTCCAATTTATAAGAATTTCCAACTCATGTATTCTCTGACTTAGCCTAGTTCTGAAACAGGTTCCCTCCATGATTATCAAAGAAGTCCCAAAATACTTCAGGTCTATGAAAATGCAGATAAAGAAAGAGGCTTGGAAGCAAACCTACCAGCTTCACTTGTTGAACTGGCTGAACAGTAGGGACAGTGTTATGTGAGCTTCAGACTGCAGGAATCACTTTTCTTTGAGGCAAAATGATGAACTGGAGAAGTAGGGAATGAACTGAGACAATATAACTCTTGATTTTCACTATGAGCAGAATTAAACTTGGTTGCATTCCTTCCCTGTAGGATTCTACTGCCCAGAAGGCTCAGCAGCACCCATTCCATGTCCAGATGACACCACAGGTTCTCCCCCAGGTGCCAAGCAAAGAGGAGACTGTCTGCCCTGCCCACCAGGTCGCTGGTGCAAAACAGGTTAGCAGAAATGTCTGGAACCCCCCTTCTCTAGAACTCCACTGAAGTGGGACCTCAACAGGCATATTCTTCTGTTAATACCTAGCATCCTACAGGTCTCCATTTTCTCACTCTTCAGAATATTCCATGGTTTTTCCATGTCCCTTTGGGTCCAACTGCCAAGGGATGAATCTCACCAATCCCCTTGGACCACAGACCCTCCAGCAATGTCCCAAGCAGGCTTTCCAAACAGAATTTGGGACCGAGGGACAACCAGATTACCAACTCTGCATGTCAGAATGCCAGTGTCCTCCAGCAGGTAAGTGCCAATGTTGAAGCTGGCTGTAAACTCTGTAAAAGCCATGTTCATATGAAGATTGCCACAGCAGCTTGCCGAGCAAAACGTCACTCTGGGACATTTTTCTCAGTCAGCATCAGTTATCTGATTATTCTGAGTTCATAGATATAATAGTATTCTCAATTTGCAAGACTGGTGGTCCTTTTAATAGTAGCCTTTCTCTATTGCCTTGCTACAGGAATAGTAATGCTATCAAATTCAAACTCTCACCACTTCATCATTTCTTTTCATCACCCATGGTGACTTGGGCTTCTGGGAATTGTAGTCAGCCACATATAGAAAACTAAAAAAAACCTCCACCCTGATATTCTGGCCTGCATGAGAAATGATTCAGTAGCTTTTTATGTACATGTTGTTGAAAAAACTGGCTTTTTGAATGCCAGCAGACCTCAAGACTTCTTAGTTCTTCTCTTTGCAAACTGAAGAGAAGACTGCCTTTTTCTCTTGCTGCCTCTTCAGTCCCCTCTCTCTCATCTCTTAATTTGTCTTCTATGTAACAGAACCCACTGCCCTCAGAGAGTACCCTTGTGCCCCAGGACACTGGTGCCCAGGCAGAAAAGATGCCTTTCTTTGCCCACCTGGTTCCTACAGGACTCATCCTGGAGCTACATCTGTGGAAGACTGCTTGCCCTGCCCATCTGGATTTTTCTGTCCAGATCCAGGAAAGTCAGGGGTGCCAAACATCCATGGACTACCTTGTGAAGCAGGTTATGAATGTCCACTAGGTTAGTTACTTATGTTTCATACCAAAGTCCCTAGAAAACAAGGCCAATGGTGAGGGATCCTGGCAATGGTTCTTCAGAAATTCCTGGAGTTGCTCAAGTTGCTGTGTCCTCAACTAGAAGTTCTTCAAAGAAGACTTTCTGGGAGAAGACACAGATTATGAAGCTGAGTGGCTCTTTCTATAAAAGGGCAATTTCAGATGATGTGAAAGAGTGGTAAATCAACTGTTGCCTATCCTATTGCCAAAAACAGGATTACCGGCAAATTCTATTGTTATTTATAACCATTGACATCAAGAGACGGGTGGCTAGAATTTTTGCAGAGAACACTGGAGGTATCTATCTTAGCTCTGTGACCACTTTAGTGACACATATTGCTTTATTTAATTGTGTTTCAATTACAAACAGTAGTAGTAATTCCCAGTAGTAATCATAAATATAACGGAAGGCAGGTTGCAGTCTGGAGAGTGTTGGGTTGAGAAGGCAGCTTTAAAATTATAGTAGGCTGCCTTGAGAATTTTGATGACTAGCCACCAGATAAATATTCCAGTTAAAATCAACTAATGTGGCAGAAATCATTCAGAATTGGCTGGTTGGAGACAATGTTAGGATATTCCCATTGTGATTCCTGCACAGCAAATTCCAGGTTGGAGTTGTGCCTTATCTCAAGCATTTGTCTCCTTTCCAGGTTCATCTCATCCTTCAAAATGTCGTCCTGGCTCTTTGTGTGGACCCCGCACAGGAATCCCACCTCTGTGTCCAGCAGGGTATTATTGTCCTGAAGGGTCATCGACATATAAGATTCTGGGCCAGCTGTGAGTATATTACTCAGATGGTGAACATTTCATACAGTTCTGAGAGATGCCAGCTTTGAACTAAGCATAGTGTTTAATCTTTCCTGTTCCACCTGAAAACCTATATGGGTAATTCACTCAATGACTTAAAGTGTCTTCATAGCATCACACAAACATCCTGAAGGGTTATGAGCCTGTCCACATTACTGTCATTTGGGCACAATGATGGTTGGATGACTATAGAAGATGCTGTAAGTTGCTGCTGAATAAAAAACAACAGCAACACTCTGTTTCATACATGGCAGGAAACAATATTCTTAGTAGTGGCAAGATCCCATATTTAGCAGGCCAAAATCACTCTGATCCTTAAGGAAGAGAATATCTGAATACAGTTATCTCACAATGGAGGGCATTATTGACGTTTTTTGCCATACCCTGTGAACATTCCTGCTTCTTAGCATCCGGTTGCACAGAAGGAATCAGTATCTCTTATTCACACCTCACGTGAAATAAAGGTTGCTTTCTACTACAGCTGGGCAAATTTTTCAAGACCTGTTTGGCTTCAAGGAAAGTTTGAATGAAGTGCTGCAGCAACTCCATTTCTAGCCAGGAGAGGAGAACAGCCCTTCACTTTGATTGTTTTGCTTGGCAAAAGTGTCTTCTGCTCATGTCCAGAACCCACATCTGTTGAAGTATAAGCAGCCAGATGAGATAAACTGAGAGCCTGTTTAGCATAGTGGTTTAGGTGCAGGACTAGAAACCAGGAGACCAAGAAGTTTTCTCCATGCTTAGGCATGGAAGCTGGCCAGGTGGGTTTGAACCAACCCTACTCTCTGGAGAGAGAATAAGAGGCAAGAACATTATGTACACAGCCTTGAGTTGTACAAAATAAAGGCAGGATATAAATCTAATAAATACATTTTAAAAACCACCCCCAACATTTAAAAAACACACACAGAAGAACAAGAGTTGGGTTTACCCTTAGGAACCAGCAAACTATTTAACCATGCTTATCATTCCAAAAATACAGTTCTCTAGGGCTAGATATTCTGTTCTTTCATCTCTGTTTTTAAAAGGTAAATCTCTAAAATTCTCCTGGACGAGAAACCTACCCATGTGAATCTGGGGAAACTGAAACAATAAATTGCATTTTATTATATTGCCCTTTTTATAAAGCTTTGAGTTTAAAAATACATTAGCTCCATCCTGTATGTTTACCTGGGCAGATCAAATGAATTTAATATTATCCTTCTTCTTTCAGACGTAAAATATCGCATAGCTCTTAGGATAGCCGAGTTCTGTGTAGTTGCTGTGAAAATACAACCACAGATTATTCATCACAGTGCCTCAGATGGGTTGAGCTCTTGTTAGAGATTAATGGCGTTTTACAAATGTGTGCCTGATCTTTGATCATAAATAAAGGAGTATGGAGACATCCCCTCCACTTCACGATCTGCCACCCTGGGGCCAACCAACATCCCTCCACAAGATGAAGCAACTTGTTGAAATGGATCAAGTGCAATCCACACAGTTCTGCTTTATACTCCCACACCCATTTTTAGTTTTGTTTTTTTTTTAATGTAACAATTCCATTAATTTTGCCAAGACTGTTTCATCTCAAGCCATCTCCAGAAAATGGAAACAGAGGGTGTCTGGAGGGCAATTCCTTTTCTTTTTATTCAGAATTTGAATTTTCAGCAGACGTTTCCCATATAAATTCTGAGGAGCAGAATTTTGGGGTTCAGGGGTGAGTCATTGCCTTCTTTTGTGTTTTTAGAGAGAGAGAATTCCAAGTTTCTCCTTCAGCTTTTAGCAGAGGCAACTTGTATAATGCTACAGGCTGAAGGTGGGGGAATTCATCACCAGCTGTTGGATGAAGGTGAATAGGATGCTAACCTGACTTCTCTCTTCTATTCAGGTGTGTCTATCCCTACTACTGCCCTCCTGGAACTGCTCAACCGCAGCTGTGCCAAGCTGGTTATATAGCCCTGAATGTGACGGGTCTTAGGGACTCCTCAGAGAAATGTTGCAGGGCCTGTAATGCTGGTACCTACAACAGCAATTTGGATTCCCACCCACCCTGTTTGCCCTGCCCAGCAGGATTCAGCTGTCCTCCAGGTGATTATGTGAGGCTTCCTTCCTTGAAGTCAGTTCTGGAAGCAGTTAATACAAGGAATGAGAATCCAAGAGCTTGTTGGATGGTCCCCTAATTTATGAAGGAAGAAAGAAATCCATCTGTTCATTGTTTTGAGAACTGTCAGCCCTATCCATGTGTAACTCTCACACTATGCTTCCCATCAGAAAGGGGGAAACTCAGCAGGAACCCTATAAAAGGATGTTGGGGAGGGGGGGAGCAATCTTGGCCTTTGAGTGGTGTGCAGCAGACTGCACTCTGAAAGTAACTGGGTCAAAATGTACATTGGCTTTCATTTGACCTGAATGTCAGTGTAGTTTAAATTGCATTAATTAGAGTACACTTAATATGACTACAACTCTGCTGCAAATCAGGTTTGATCTGATCTGCAGGGGTTCAGTGTAAAAAAATCACGTTGACCTGAATTGAATCATCAAATCATTTCAGACTTCCAAATCTGATCATCTCTTGCATTGATTTAATTCAGATTGTCAATTCAGTTTGGGGAAGAAAGGGTAGACTTAACTGTGCCCAAACTCAGTTCAATCATCAATGTGAATCATGTTCCAATCTCTATATCTAATATTTGCATGCCCCTGGTTATCAGTGTCCTAGAGCTGGAAGGAGCTATTTTGACCACAGAGTCCAATCCCCTCCTTGGGACACGCTAAATAATCACTCCCCAAGTTTTTAATCAATTGCCACTTTTATCACAATTCAAGCTTCAAGTCAGTGGCAAATTTGGGAAAGCCTAGGGACCACGTGCAAGGTGGCTGCAGAACTCTATCCTATATTGTCTAAGTCTCATCAATACTCATTTCTTCCCTTCCTCAATCAGGCACTGCAAGTTTCCTCCAGCATCCCTGTCCCCGAGGATATTTCTGTCCTCCCCAGACCTCTTCTCCTATGCCTTGTCCTCCAGGCACCTATGGGAACAGAAGCCTCACAAAGCACCTGGAGGAATGCAATCTGTGCCCTGCTGGTTTTTTCAATCATGTGCCTGCCCAGACTGGCTGTTTTCCATGTGGGAGCTCCTCAAGATCAAGAGAAGGTGAATGTTCTGCCCTCTGAACTGAATCTCAAGGGGACAACCAGGATAAGGGAGATGACGTAAACAAAGTGGGTCTGCCCGTTCTGCAATTGCAGATTGCTCTTTTTAATTATGAAGAAGCTAATAGTAGGTCATCTCTCTTGACAATCATGAGCCATTTGGAGCCATTTTCAGAAAGGATTCTGTACAATCCGCCCCCTGAGATGTAGGTCTCCCTCTGTTGGAGAAAGTTTGGTACCCTTTTTAAGTACATAAGAAACAGAGGTTTCCACTTGTTGCCTCAAAGGTCTTACCTGTGATGGTAGGTGGGAATGACCTTGGGAAACAGAGAGAAGAGATGCAGCCAAGGGAATGGTCAGATAAGAGGCAGCTTAGCCCACAACAGGAATGTGGGTGGGGCAAGCAGCTCAGAAGAGACCCTCCCTAGTTTCTTGGGCTGTAAAGGGGATGGGGGAGAAATGTACTTTCGGGCGTGCAAGATTCTGTTACTATAGCTTTACAATAAAGTAGAATGAACTCATCTGGCCGTGCTTCCTGTCTGGTATACCTCACAGGGCTGACACCTGTTGTCTTCTCTAGGTGCGACTAATTGCACCTGCCTAGGTTTGCACCGGAGTTTTCAGGAATCAGATGGCTCTTGCATCTGCCAAGCGGGATACCTTTACTATGATGAAAGAGGGAAAAAAAGCTTGGATAGCAACAGTGACCAAGATTGCCAACCACAGGTGATGAACTGTGAAGGTTGGTAACTCTACCCTGCAGGAGTGCTGGTGGACCTGCTTCTTAATTTCTCTCCTCCTTTTCCTTCTCTGTCTCTTTCTCCCTCTGCTCACAGATAGAGGAGCGCTGTGCTCCAGGGGAGATTCGCCTGGCATCCACACGCGAGTGTGTCATCCCTGAACTGTATAACTGCTCCCTAGTTTGTAATCCAGGGAATGGAGAACTTCACGCCGAGCTTGGCATGTAAGCCGCATCATTCTAGAAAACATTCCCAGGTGTTTGTGAAATGAGTTTTTCTTTTTTCCCCAGAGCTTAGATCTAGATCTGCCCTCCATATCTTGGTTTTTGTAAAGGGATTTCCTTTGGGGGTACATCTGGTGGTCAATGGAGAAGGAAAACATAGAACTTGACCACATTCTCTGCAGAACTTTTTTATTCAATCTGGTGTCTTCCACGTGGGTTGGACACCCAGAATTGTTAGCCGGTTGTAGGCTAACAAATCTAGAAAAGACCAGGTTAGACAGATGGCTTAGGAAACTCTGCTTCTGTAGCTTCAACAGTGTCTATGTTGATCTATGCTTTCCCACTTCTCAGCCCCAGATGTTGTTCTAGAACAGGGTTTCTCAATCTTAGCAACTTTAAGATGTGTGAACTTCAACTCCCAGAATTCCCCAGCCAGCCATGAGTTGAAGTCCACACATCTTAAAGTTGTTACCTCAAAGGTCTTACCTGTTGTAATGGTAGGTGGGAATGACCTTGGGAAACAGAGAGGCAGCCAAGGGAATGGTCAGATAAGAGGCAGCTTAGCCCACAGCAGGAATGTGGGTGGGGCAAGCAGCTCAGAAGAGACCCTCCCTAGTTTCTTGGGCTGTAAGGTTGAGAAACCCTGCTCTAGAAAATAAAGTTTAAAAATCTTTCTTCCTCCCAGATAGAAATTCATTCATGTCCCTGGCTTTTCTTTGTCTCTAAGATGCCACTGTGAACAGTACATTTCTGCCGAAGAACTCTGTGATCAGCTGTGCTTGCTGCGATCCCCTCGATTTTCTCTCAGGTTTGGCCCTGCAAGAGAGCTGCTCCTCACCGTCCAGGGGGCTGAGGAACGAGTGAGTAGGAGATGCCAGAATTAGGGCCTGGATGATGGGGCGTGCTTTCGAAACTGGTGTGCTGGGGAATGGTGCTTTGCATGTGAGTTTTTGTGTACAGCAACACTGAAAGAGAGAGACAAGAATAATCACTTTATATAAGGTTACAGAGAAACCCTGAGGATTGCTTCAGACATTATGAGAAGTGGAGAAAGCAAAGCATGGGTGACTTGTGCTTTCTCTTTCCCTTCTCCTTGCTTTATCCAAATCAGCATGGCAGAGCCTCAGGGTAGCCACCTTACCAGTCATTTCCTGCTCTTCTCCCCCACCTTGGTTCTGCTGTGCTTTGCAGGAGATACCAAATATACTTGGACCAGATCATCACATTCAGAAAATCCAGCAGGTCCATCTGACTCTCTTTGGCCCCAGTGGTGTTTTGGGCTTCCTTCCTTCCAACCCAGACATGATTGATTCATTCCTATCAGGTAAGGTTTAGTCAGTGATGGGGAGGTCTGCACCTCACCTAAACTTTGCTAGACTCCCACTCCCTCTCCCTCCTTCCTAACTGATGGCCATCCTGGCTGAAGCTGATAGGAATTGGAGTCCAACAACATATGGAAGAACACAGATCTCTTACTCCTGTTTGAGCCAGTTTGGGATGGTGGTTAAGGCACCAGGCTAGAAACCAGGAGACTATGAGTTCTAGTCCCACCTTCAGCACAAAGCCAATTAGGTGACTTTGAGCCAGTCACTCTTTCTCGGCCCTAGGAAGAAGGCAAGAGCAAACCACTTCTGAAAAAACCTTGCCAAGAAAACTGCAAGGACTAGTCCAGGCAGTCATCAGGACTCAAGAATGACTCAAAGGGACATATATGTAGAGCACAGAAATAAATGCTGGTTTTCTAAACTTTTTTGGGTGGTAAGGACAGAATAACTAGGATAGAACTTCAAGGTGTATTTAACTGTCTCTCACCTTGGTTTATACAATCAACTTAATTTCTTTCTTTCAAAGCAGCTATGTCCTCACATTGGAGTGCTTTTTGCTTTCCTTATCTAACCTATTTTATTTTAAAACATTGTCGCCTCATCAAAAAATACTCAATCTCCCTTCCTCTACTCTGTTATTGGAGGAATTAGAATCCTTTCCTCATCTTTGGACAGATGCCACCACACTTGTCAAATTCAGGACGAAATGAATCTTGCGCAAAAAAAAAACTTTACCCACAAGTGGGCAATACTCTCTTCTTTTCGCCTGATAAAATCACTATGGATTTAATGTCAGGCTTACAGCCAGATTACGCATTATTTTATTGGCTAGATTTACATCCTGGTTTTTGTCTAGGAGCTCATGGCAGCTTACATGAGGCGTTTGCTTAATTTTATCCCCACAATAAGAACCCTGTGAGATAGAACAGGCTGAGAGATAAGGCATGAAATCCTCCATTGAGTTCTCATGGTTGAGGCTGGATTAGGAGCTGGTTCTAACCAGTCCTAGTCCAAAACCTTGTCTACTACACCACACCGGCCCTTACCATCATGTTACAACAGCAGTCCCAAAGTGATTTACTTCTGTAAATCCCCAGATTATATAGAGAACAATAGATACCCAAAGAGGTTGTGTTTGGCAATGGATTCAGTCCACTCATTTAGCTGAATGATTGCATGAAGAAATCATTAACCTCTGGTTTCGTTTTTCACAGGGCATTGGCTGCAATCTGTTATGATCATGAGAAGTCCCTAGCTGTGCAATAACTTATGATTCTCCTTCCCCCAGTTTTTAAAAAAAGAGAGTGAAGGAAGGGGATGATTTTCATTTTTTTTACCAATTTTACTGGTCCAGGAGATTTGCAACGAAGACATCGGCGAGATGCATCACGCCAACATTTGCCTACAATCCCAAATCCTGTTGCCTGTTTGGTGGTGGGAGATGCTATGCTCTTCCAGCTCAGCGTTAATCCCTCCAGTAAGTCATAGTACCTGGACTCAATTTCCTGCTGTGATATGGACATGTTGGCTCAATTAGTTCAGGAAATATGAACAGCAATGTCTGTTAATCCAGTATTGATAGGGGAGTATCGAGCCATCTCTAAATGTTGAATGATTGTCAACAGAAACGGGTTCCCTGTGCCATGCAGAAAAAATATTAACTCATGCCATGTAGAAAAATTCCTTGGTTTTTTTTTCTCTACTAGCTCTCAGTTTGATAAAAAAAGAATTTGCTTTTGAAATTTCATTCCAAGGAGAAGAAATACTTCTGGAGGGAGAGGAGTGTTTCAGCATGTATTTGATCATATGCTTTTGCATGTATTTCTGCAAGGAATGTGGGCAAATGTTCAATGTAGTTTCCTTGAGTTCTCACGTGCCCATTAAATTCTAAGGAAAGAAACTCCTTGGGTGGGGGTGGGGGTGGGGGTGAGGTTGGGGACTTTTTCAAATTGGGAAGTATAAGCAACCAGGGAGGCTTCAATGAGATTAAAAAATAAGATGTATCTCAGTATAGAATTCAAGGCAGGTTTTTCTTGCTATAGGCTAGTGTTTCTCACCCTTGGCAATTTTAAGATGTGTAGATTTCAACTTCTAGAATTCCCCAGCTAGCATGCTTTAAGATGTGTGGATTTCAACTTTCAACAGTTGAAGTCCACACACCTTAAAGTTACTGAGGTTGAGAAATATTGCTATAGGCTAAAGTCTCCTCCCACTTCCTCATATCCTCAACTGTTGCACACATTTGGCTTTGAATCCAACATAGAGTGGTTTTCCGCTTCCCACCATAATTCAAACAGGTGTTTTTTTTTCAAAATCAAAACTCTGATTTACCAACCAGGGATAAGATTCTATCTGTCCCCTTCTCAGAGCTAAATTCTTTTTTGAAAGGAACACATACAGGGCAAGTGGTAGGAAGAAGCTTGGTGTGCATCAGAAATTTTGTGTAGCTGTTCAGGAGATGGAAAGGAAAGCGGTTTTGAGATTTACAAACTTGGCACCACTGGTGGGGAGAAAATGGGAAGTAGCTTTAAGCTTGTGAATTAACAACTACTGGAGAAAGGAAGACCTATCTGCTCCAAAGACTAATTCACTAGAGGTTTTGTGGCAAACAAAAAATTAAGATGAATGAGCCTATATACATGGGTGCCTGTGAAAGGCTTAGCTTGTTTTTTTATATATACTGAGGACTGTCAAGTGTAGCAGTGCTGTCTATGGTAAATAAAGGCATCTCACTGAACATCTACTGCTCATTTGGGACTCTCAGAGGAGAGGCAATGAAGTAGAAACAATGTCTACTTTGCAAAGAGATCTAGAGAATCAGGGATTTTTTTCCCCCTGAGCCTGTCTACATCACAGCCAGAAGCAACAAATCCACGTATGCAACGCTCATAAGCTTTTCTGGCCTATTAGAGCAGCGTTTCTCAACCTTGGCAGCTTGAAGATGTGTGGACTTCAGCTCCCAGAATTCTGGGAGTTGAAGTCCACACATCTTCAA